TGGGGTGGATGGCCGGCCATACTCCCAGTGCTGTGGCCATCAGGGAGGACATTGTGACTGAGAAACCAGGTCTGGAGGACAGCAGCAACACTCTTCTTGCAGGAACGCCTATTTTTCCAGTCCACACCCAGCAGGGCATGGTGACAGTGACTGAGAAGGGCCAAGTATCGCTTGGGGTAAGTCATGAGACTCGATTTGCAATTTAACCTTCCCAAGCCTCAGGTCCCTCAACTGTACATGACTAATCTTAGCCAATTGGGTTTTTCATATATAGTTGCTGTCCCAACTCCTAGCCTCAGTTTCTCCACCAGTTAGCTGGGGACTTAGACAGACTTGGAGATGACTTGAAGATAGGATAGCCGAAGTACGGGGGAACCCCCTCAGGGCTGTTCCAGGGCCAAAGAAGGGTCACTTCCTTCCGTGCCAGCGGTTGTCAGTCACCTCTGGGTGGCCCCCTCCCGGGTGCAGTGGCGCCAGGATTTCCTCCGCGGACCTGTGACTCTCTGCACTCCAGGCCTCGCGGGCCCACGGCTGCACGTGGGGCTGCCCCAGCCTAGCCTTCCTTCGTGATCCTTCTTCCTGGAGTTTTTCCGGCCCTAGCGTGGGCCTGGCGATTCCAGGGCAGAGGTGACGGATGCTCTGTTCCCAGAGGTCGCGCAGCTGGAAGGGCGGCCTTAGGACCCCGCAGTTCAGAGTCCCCTAGGGGGCGTGGCAGGGAGGGTGCTATTTAAAGGTCGGGCGCCGCCCCCTCGCGGCCGGCAGGAGCGGCGCTGCAGCGGCCCGGCCTCGGCGGGCTGGACCCGGCCGGCTGCGCGAACGATGTGCCAAGGAGCCGGGCAGCGACGGCGCTGAGCCAGGTAGGGGCAGCGGACAGCGGCAGTGCCTGGGGAGCTGGGACTGGATCCTCCCTCGGTCTCTAGCTCTCCCCGGGAAGGGCTCAGATGGGTGTTCCCATTTGACAGCTGGGAAAATCAAGGCCGGAAGTCCTGGACGTGCCTAGGAGCACACAGCCAAGCAAGCAGACTAGGGTTTGAATTCAACTCTCCCCAAGGCGAACATGGACTTTCCACACCACCGCTGTTGTCTTTGGAGGGGATACCCCAGTGCTCTTTGGAGAGACTTGAAGCCTACTTTCTTTATGGATGATAGATGGGAGGGATCCCCACTACACCTCCACCCTGACATTCTGCATCAAAACCACATTCCATTGGGTTAAGGTCTGGTTCCCCTGAGATGTGGGATGTCTCCAGAACGGGCTGCCCTAGTGATTCACTGCCCTGTGAACCTTGAAGCTGCTCTCCCAGGCCCCCTTTGCCAGTAAGTCGGAGCAGACTGAGAGCACTACCGCCCACTGTGCTCCTGGGCAACTTAGGAGGGAAGTCTTAGCAGTTGCTTTGGAGACCAAGGGGCTGGATTCTGATCCTGACTCTTCTACTTACTGTACAAGTGGCTTTGGGTAAGTCATTTCTCGTGTTCTGGGAGAGAGTTCTACAGAGGACCAGCGGGGTCTGCACTGCCAGAGACCACAGCACTAAGGAGCCGTAGATCTGCATGAGTTCCAGTGCCAGCACATCTAGGGCCTGGGGATCAGGCTCTTCACCTTCCTGGGCCTCAGTTTTCTAGACTGTGAATGGGAATTATAGCAACTACCTCACTTGTACTTGTGAAGATTAAAAGATTAAAAGACCTGAGATCAGTCAAGTGCTTAGAAAAATGTGTAACCTCCTTGCATAGTAGGGGTTGTCTTATTTTGATTATAGAATTGCCCGCCCCCCATCTCTGTCTGTCTGTCTGTCCCTCTCTCTCTCTCTGTCACACACAGAGACACACACAAGCACATACACAGCTATTCTTTGACACTTTTCCATGTCAGAATCCAGCCACTTGCCTGCAGACCCAGGACCTGTCCTAGGACACCTCAGTGCTACTGGTCCCTGTACCAACTGGGAAGGACACTATAGTGTCCCAGTACTGTCCTGGCCACGCCCCACCTGATCATCCCCTTGGTTAAGGGTGGCCAGTGGTGGAATGGACACTGGTGTGTGCCACAGATGGCAGATGAGTCACCCAGGTGGGAGAGGTAAAAGAACTTGCCCTGAGGACCAGACTAGCTAGCGGTGGAGCTTGACTGTGAGTCTGGTCCTCTCTGTGAGAGACTGAAGTCCTCAGATGCTGGGGAGAAGGCTCAGCATGGGGGCTTCTTTTTACCATAATTCTGTGGTGCAGTGGGGACTGTCCCTCCTGGATGTGCAGAAGCCTCATGTGGGGTAGAACAGATTTGGCAGAGGAGGGAGAGATAGAGGTCCTGGACATCTCCACCTTAACCCCGGGTCCTGATGTCCTTACTGCAGCCAAACTTCTGCCCTCACTCAGTCACTTGTTCCTTGAGAGAGCTTTAGTGAGCATCTACTTAAGGAATGAAACAAAAGATAAATGGGTTTGCAAATGGGTGTGGGGGAAATGCTACACACCCAGAGAGAGTGAGAGCATTCTGGGTAGAGGGAGCAGCAAGGCAGAGCCCCAGGCAGGCAAAAAGGTACTGGGGTGTGAATGAGGAGATTGCTGAGGAGAAGGAGCTGATGGAAAGGAAAGAGGGTGAAACCTGGACACTCCTGGAGATTTCAGGAGTGACTGGTAAGATCTGAATGTGATTTTTGAAAAGCCACTGACAGCCATGTATGGGACTGATTGGCCAGCACTGGAGGAAAGCAAGAACACAGAGAGTGGATTCGGCTATTGCAGTGAAGGTGGGCAGCTTTGAACCTGGTAGGATAGAGAAGGAAAGGGACAAGGAGACAGGGAGTTGGGGGACCTCCCCCTCACCTGCATTCCACATGGGAGACTCAAATGCTAGTGTACTATCTGGCTGCCCTGTGTCATGAGGTCAATCCCCGGGGGAACTTTCATTTCAAGGGGTGGGAAACATAGTGGAGTGTGCCCTGTCCAAAGCTTTGCAACTGTGAGATTCTGAAGAACACAGGCCAGCCCTGGGGAACCAGAGACGGCTTCCTGGAGGACATGGCATCTAAGCCAAGCTCCACAGGGTGGGGAGGTATTTAGCCTTGAAGAGGGGCAAAAGAAGGGAAGACTCGGGCAATGAAAGGTACCCAGAGGTCCAAAGGAAATACATGTGCTCAGGACCTGCAGAGAGAGGGCAGGTGGGAGACAAGAGCTGGCCCAGAGAGGGCCGGCTCCCTAAGGCCCCGGAGATGAAGGAAGGCCAGGGGTTTTCATTTAGCTCTGAGTATGCTAATGTTAAGCAGGTGGGGACTGCTTTTGAACCAAAAGAACAAAATTTCCTGTGAACTCGCAGTCTGCAGTGAAAGGAGGGTGCTGTGGGGCAGGGTTGGGCCCTGGGGGAGCCAGGAAGGAGAGTTGAAAGGGCCAAACTGGCCGCTGCGTGTCTCAGCAAGATGAAGGCATAGCAGCCACTGGGTTGAGACTCATTACCAGTTAGTTCTGACAGTCAAAGTAGCCGGTGAAGGCCTAAAAATCTCTCCCACAGACACCTTCAGAGTGGCAACTTGCATTTTGTACTGAGCACCCACTGTGGGGACCTTCAAGTGTAAGGGTGAAGGGCACATACCCAGGGGTCTAAGCCTGCCACTTAGCTGTGTTCTCTTAGGTGTGTGTATGGCTTCATCTTTCTGAGCCTCGGCTTTGTTTTGGTTTGGGTTTTGTTGTTTGTTTGTTAGTTCCCTTCTATAAAATGAGAAGTGTAAGAAAATGGAACTGAGTCCTTGTGAGGATTGAAAGAGTTAGTGATGTCAGGTTTGATTGTGGAGGTGTAACGCACTGTGACACTTTCATAGAGTATGTCTCATTTGTCCTCAACAAAACTTGACATGGTTGTCATTTTCCTCTGGAAACAAAGTCAGAGAGATGTGACTTGTATAAGGCCACACAGTGGGCACCTAGGGGAGTTGAGAGTGCTGCCAGGGGTTTCTCTCGGAGTCCTGTGGTCCGTCCTTGTAAGTACACAGTGTCCAAACTGTGATCTCTTCGGCCCACTGTCTCATCACTACTTCCCAGCACAGAGTTTGATGTGAGATGATATTCAGTATGGAAGTAACTGGAATCAGTTATTCGTTAATTAATTAAATACATAGGCTGTCTGTCTCCTCAGCACATGGCTCAAGTACACTGGGATTCACCCCGCTAAAGGTCTCTGGGGTCCTCATGGGCTCCTACCCTGGCTCTTACACTGCCATGGGCCTGGGGCCTTGGGCAGCCATAACCTTCAGTGAAAGTAGAGGGCTGGCAGCCTGCTGGGGTGGGGCTTCCTGTCAGTTCCCTGGCCAGCCCCGAACAATGACAAGGTCTGAAAATTCCAACCAAAAGCAAAAGGTCAACATGGAAGGAGAGTGAAACATTCCATGTGGGGCCTATGGACCGAGGACAGGGCCTGCCTGGAGCCTGGAGGGAAGTGCTTGAGGCCTGTCTCCCTCCAGCCAGCCCTACTCCAGGGTCCCTTTACCTCCTAAGCATCCCTAATTTTAGCACCCCTAATTTCCTTCTACCAAGTTGACCTTTATAATTCTTTTAAAACTACATTTTATTTATTTGAAGGAAGGGGGTGCATTGTAGAGGATAGTGAAGCCCAGGAGTCAGTACTCTCCTTCCACCATGTGGGTCCCAAGATCAAATTCAGGTAGACCTTCAGGCATGATGGCAATGGCCTTTACCCCTGAGCTATCTCAGTGGCCTCAGGTTGCCTTAGGTAAGCCTAAAGCCAATGCAGCGTCATACAGTGCTTTAAAGAGTCTTGCTTCCCCTGAGTAATGACTCATCTTGGCCTCAAAGTCATAGTCCCTGGCCCCTACCTCAGCCTCTAAAGTTCTAGGACACCACAACTCTCAGCTCCCTGAGTTGTGAAGCCCATATGCTTCCAGCTCTTAGCTGGAGCCTAGAATCCTCGAGGGAGGGCACGCGGGTGCTGCTAGCAGTGGAGACGACAGAGACCTCACCTTTCCTCTTTCCTCTCCACCCTAGGCAGAGCCATGAGCCACCAGATCCTGCTACTCCTGGCCATGCTGACCCTGGGCCTGGCTATCTCTCAGCACCGAGACCAAATGCCCTGTAGGACGGTAAGACACCGTGCAGGCAGAGTAAGGGGTCCTAACCCATCCTTGTTGGGGAGAGGGTGTCCCACAGCCCAGCACAGGAGCAAAGGTTAGAAGACACAGAAAAGGTTAGAGTTTTGCCTTGGTATTTGTTGAGCATACAGTAGACTGTTCAGAAACCTGCTTACCCAACAGTCTTGTTCTCTTTTTATAGAAGGAAATCTGAGGTTTGGGGAGGCTAACCAAGATCATTCAGTTAGGGACAGTGGGAACCACTGTTTCTGTATTCCCCAAGCTGCCCCTGTTATAGGCAATTAGTTTTCTGGGGACTACTGGGGTAAAGGAGCTAGGAAGAGACAAGCTGGGAGAGGCTCATCTGTACTGATCCTCCTGGGCACAGGTCCCCTCCCCGACTGGGCCCCTCACTCATTACAGCCACATCAAATGCCCAGGAAGCCTCCCCTTGACTATGCTGGCTGACTCCTTCAGCAGCTCCCTCTTCTGGCTTCATGACCTCCACCCATCTCCATGCTGAGCAGACTTGGGGTGGTGCATCCCCAAGGCTGTCTTACCTGGCAGACCAAGAGCGCCTTTGGAGGCAGAGGGCAGGCTTGACTTACTTCCAAGCCAAGCAGATGCTAAAGACATTGTGACCCTGCGAGGTGCAGGCAAACGACTCTTTAGGTCAGCGATTCTCGAGCTGTGGGTCATGACCCCCAAAAGGGGTGCATACCAGATATCCTGCATGTCAGACATTTACATTACAATTCATAATAGTAGCAAAATTACAGATATGAAGTAGCAACAAAAATAACGTTTATGGTTGGAGTCACCACAACATGAGGAACTATATTAAAGGGTCACAGCATTAGGAAGGTTGAGAACCACTGTTCTAGGACACTTGCAAAGCAGGGCTGGAGATAGGACAGGCAGCCACCAACTGCACTTGGGTACAGAATGGACAGCTGCTTAAAGAGGCCAGAAGCACCAACAGCCACCTGCCAGAAGCCCTTTTCTGGGGTCTGTGTGCCCTGCTGTGGACACCATTTCTTCCTTGGAGGCCTCCTGAGAGTCTCACAACCCAGAATAATGGGAGGAAAGGCTTCAGACATCACCAAATGCCCAGAGACTTGGGAGGACTGAGGCCCTATAAAGTGAAGAGTTTTGAGCCCAACAGAGGGCATGGAGCAGGGACTCTCTGAGAAGCCTGAGATGGTAGACAGGAAAGGACTTTCTGAACCATCACAGGAAATTCTGTACACACAGCAGCGGCAGCAGATAGACATGTGACCCTGAGGATCTCAAGGGTAGAAGTGACAGAGTCAAAATTCAAACCCAGCTCCCCCTGTGCTGTTCATGGCCAGTGCCTCTCCTTACACAGTTTCCTCCTGTGTGTCGATGGGAGGTGGAGTTGGGTGGCACGTCCTTTCCCCCATCAGGGAGAAAGCAGAGCAGTGGCTGACACAGCAGAGTGAGGAGGGATGCTAAACCGTAGCCAAGGCCCATCACCTGTCATCTCTGAACCAGAGACTCCCAGCAGTCAGTCAGAGCTTGGAGTTAAGGGGAGAGAGGGTACAGAGATCAGGGAACCCCCTGTCCTTCACACTCCTCTGAAGTCTGGACTGGATCGGAGATGGGCACCAGAAGACATAGGTAGCAGGAGATGCGGGCCCCTGCAGGACCTGACAGCCTCTGGCCATGCCAACTCCTGTCATGGTTCCGGGAGAGCCTTTGCTCATCTAGAGGGGAGTGGACATGGGTGTGGGCTTACATGGAAGACAGTGGCATGTGCACTGCAAGTGAAGGGTGAATAGTGATGGTGGTGTTTGTCCAGTCAGCCTGGGTACCTGAGCCACTGAAAGCCCAGCTTACACAAAAAGAAACTCATACTAGCATTGGGTTCATCTTGTTTCTGCTTATAGCAGGGTGGTCCTGGGTGCTAGGTGGCAAGTAGGTATCTAATTTCTGTGGGTAGCCATGAGGGGTGTTGTTGGCTCTCCTAGAACCTCAATTGGCAGCTTTTCCTAGAGGTATAGAGCTATTCAAGGTACTTTATGCAGTAGGCATCCACACAGGTGTCCATGGTCAGACAGTGCCCAGCTTTACCCCTCGCCTCGGGGTCTTCAGGAGGAGCCTCGGAGCTAGGCCAGGCAGGGATCACAGGCTTGTATTTCTTCCCTGCTACCTCAGTCTCTGGATCCCTGTGGCCCAGGCAAGTCACTGATAGGCAGGCCTTGACCTTAGCATGTGAATAGCAGGTGGCTGGATCCCTTTGCTCTGATGTCTCTCTGGCTCTAATCTGAATATCCCAATTAGCTCCCCACACCCCCACTCCCACATTGATCATTGGATCAAGGCCTCAGCTCTGTACTTAGGCACAGATGTTTGCAACTCATTCATAAAAGACATTTTCAGAACACTTTCTGTGGGCCAAGTCCAAGACATGCATGTCAATCAAAGTAGTCCCTCTCTGCTCCAAGCTCACTGACTGCAGGTCTTTGTTCAGGGGCACCAGGCCATAGAAGGGAAGCACAGTGCTGGAAGAGGTGTTGGGTTCCCTGCGAGCAGGTCTCACACAGATCCACACGTGTCCAGAGATGGGTGTGGAAGAGTGTGGGACCATGGCTAGGCATGATCACTGCATGCAAACAGGATTGAGACCAGTGGACAGGTTGGGCAGAGCCACAGACAGTCTTGATGGATTCTGCTCTGTGTTAAGGACAAGGGTACGGCGAAGTGGGTTTGGAACAGTCTCTGGGCATTTAGCAGGTAGGTGGTTCAGTGGGGACAGTGGGATGTCAATGGAGACAGGCTGGGGGCAGGGACAAAACTAAGCTGGCTGGTTATAGAAGTTGCACTATTTGCCAGGGAGGGCTAGAGTGCCTATGGTGAGAATCTGGGAATGACCAGATGGAAATGTGCATTTGCATATGACCCCTAAGGACACATTTTGTGGAAGGACAAGAGTTGCTGAAAGGCCCATGTTCAAATCCCAGCTCCCTCCATACTGTCTGGGTGACCCTGAGGACTCCCTCACCCTCTCCCACCTGAACTAAAATATGTAATAAAAATATGTAATTATATCGGATCACCCCTATACTGGGTGATCTGACAGGGTCACCAGTCTGAAAGTCCTGGTATATGAAGTAGGTGCTGGGAATGACAAGTTAATTTTAGGGTAAGGACTGGAGTGTTGATGTGACTTAGTGGTCACTCAGTTAAATTGTCATCAGATAATGCTGGTTGGGTCCTGGTATTCCTTTCTCCTGCTCATTCTCCTCCTACTACCTGGCCCCATGATGGACCGCAGGCCACCACAAGTGGCTACTGATGTGGGGGGTAGGTAGTAGCTGTGGAAAGCATTGTGTCCAGAGCTCACCCCACATCATAAGAGGAATGAGATCAAAGAGGGTGAACCAAATCAAAGCAGCTGGCAGGAAAACCTGCCAGTTTCCCTGTTGCAAGCATGTTTTCCTGATGAAGCTCCTAGCCTGATGCTGTGACTTTATCTGGGATGTGTCAAGGACCTAGAAGTGGATCTCGAAGCTGTGGCCATGGGTCACTTGGCTCTGGGTTACTCTAAGTGTAGCATGGCTTTGTTTCCCATATAACAGGACAATAATCAGCACATATTTATTCTTAGAGCTGTCTACTATTTCTCTGTCTACTGCCTCCCTCCTGTCCAGCACCCACCAGACTGCCAGAGGAAGAGTCAGAGAGAAGCCAGGGGTCATCAGCTCAGTGGAGAAAAAGCTCTAGCATCCTGGGAGTCTGTGGGGAAGCCCCCTGTCTTAGTTAAGGTTTCTGTTGCTGTGAAGAGACACTATGACCATGGCAACTCTTATGAGGGAAAACATTTCATTGGGGTGGCTTACAGTTCAGAGGTTTAGTCCATTATCATCATGGCAGGAAGCATGGCAGCATGAAGGTATACGTGGTGCTGGAGAAGGAGCTGAGAGTTTTTATACCTTAACTCAAAGGCAACAGGAAGTGGTCTGAGACACTGGGCATGGCTTGAGCATATGAGACCTCAAAACCCTCCTCCACAGTGACATACTTCCTCCAACAAGGCCACACACCCTAAGTACCACTCCCTATATACTTATGGGGGCCAATTACATTCCCCATCTCTCTTTCCTAGAGAATCCTGTCCTGTTCTACCCACCCCTACTAATGCCAGCTTCTTGCCACCCTTGCTCTCCCTAGGTGAACAAGGAAGCCTTGTGCCAGGGCCTTGGTCTCCTTCAGGTCCCTTCAGTGCTCTCATTGGACATCCGGGCTCTCTACTTGTCTGGGAACAGGCTGCAGAGCATCCTGGCCTCTCCCTTGCGCTTTTATGCAGCTCTTCGTCACCTGGACTTAAGTGTCAATGAGATAAGCTTCCTCCAGCCAGGAGTCTTCCAGGCCCTGCCCCACCTGGAACACCTCAACCTAGCCCACAACCGGCTCGCCATGGGCATGGCACTGAACAGTGGAGGTCTGGGCCGCCTGCCCCTTGTGACCTCCCTGGACCTGTCTGGGAACAGCCTGTATGGTAGCCTGGTGGAGCAGCTGTTGGGTGAGGCCCCGAGCCTGCACACCCTTTCACTGGCAGAGAACAGCCTCACTCGCCTGGCACGCCACACCTTCTGGGGCATGCCAGCCCTAGAGCAGTTGGACCTCCACAGCAACATCCTGATGGACATTGAGGATGGCGCCTTCGAGGCCCTGCCCCAGCTGACCCACCTCAATCTCTCCAGGAACTCCCTTACCTGCATCTCGGACTTCAGCCTCCAGCAGCTGCAGGGACTTGAGCTGAGCCAGAGCCACAGACAGTCTTGATGGATTCTGCTCTGTGTTAAGGACAAGGGTACGGCGAAGTGGGTTTGGAACAGTCTCTGGGCATTTAGCAGGTAGGTGGTTCAGTGGGGACAGTGGGATGTCAATGGAGACAGGCTGGGGGCAGGGACAAAACTAAGCTGGCTGGTTATAGAAGTTGCACTATTTGCCAGGGAGGGCTAGAGTGCCTATGGTGAGAATCTGGGAATGACCAGATGGAAATGTGCATTTGCATATGACCCCTAAGGACACATTTTGTGGAAGGACAAGAGTTGCTGAAAGGCCCATGTTCAAATCCCAGCTCCCTCCATACTGTCTGGGTGACCCTGAGGACTCCCTCACCCTCTCCCACCTGAACTAAAATATGTAATAAAAATATGTAATTATATCGGATCACCCCTATACTGGGTGATCTGACAGGGTCACCAGTCTGAAAGTCCTGGTATATGAAGTAGGTGCTGGGAATGACAAGTTAATTTTAGGGTAAGGACTGGAGTGTTGATGTGACTTAGTGGTCACTCAGTTAAATTGTCATCAGATAATGCTGGTTGGGTCCTGGTATTCCTTTCTCCTGCTCATTCTCCTCCTACTACCTGGCCCCATGATGGACCGCAGGCCACCACAAGTGGCTACTGATGTGGGGGGTAGGTAGTAGCTGTGGAAAGCATTGTGTCCAGAGCTCACCCCACATCATAAGAGGAATGAGATCAAAGAGGGTGAACCAAATCAAAGCAGCTGGCAGGAAAACCTGCCAGTTTCCCTGTTGCAAGCATGTTTTCCTGATGAAGCTTCTAGCCTGATGCTGTGACTTTATCTGGGATGTGTCAAGGACCTAGAAGTGGACCTCGAAGCTGTGGCCATGGGTCACTTGGCTCTGGGTTACTCTAAGTGTAGCATGGCTTTGTTTCCCATATAACAGGACAATAATCAGCACATATTTATTCTTAGAGCTGTCTACTATTTCTCTGTCTACTGCCTCCCTCCTGTCCAGCACCCACCAGACTGCCAGAGGAAGAGTCAGAGAGAAGCCAGGGGTCATCAGCTCAGTGGAGAAAAAGCTCTAGCATCCTGGGAGTCTGTGGGGAAGCCCCCTGTCTTAGTTAAGGTTTCTGTTGCTGTGAAGAGACACTATGACCATGGCAACTCTTATGAGGGAAAACATTTCATTGGGGTGGCTTACAGTTCAGAGGTTTAGTCCATTATCATCATGGCAGGAAGCATGGCAGCATGAAGGTATACGTGGTGCTGGAGAAGGAGCTGAGAGTTTTTATACCTTAACTCAAAGGCAACAGGAAGTGGTCTGAGACACTGGGCATGGCTTGAGCATATGAGACCTCAAAACCCTCCTCCACAGTGACATACTTCCTCCAACAAGGCCACACACCCTAAGTACCACTCCCTATATACTTATGGGGGCCAATTACATTCCCCATCTCTCTTTCCTAGAGAATCCTGTCCTGTTCTACCCACCCCTACTAATGCCAGCTTCTTGCCACCCTTGCTCTCCCTAGGTGAACAAGGAAGCCTTGTGCCAGGGCCTTGGTCTCCTTCAGGTCCCTTCAGTGCTCTCATTGGACATCCGGGCTCTCTACTTGTCTGGGAACAGGCTGCAGAGCATCCTGGCCTCTCCCTTGCGCTTTTATGCAGCTCTTCGTCACCTGGACTTAAGTGTCAATGAGATAAGCTTCCTCCAGCCAGGAGTCTTCCAGGCCCTGCCCCACCTGGAACACCTCAACCTAGCCCACAACCGGCTCGCCATGGGCATGGCACTGAACAGTGGAGGTCTGGGCCGCCTGCCCCTTGTGACCTCCCTGGACCTGTCTGGGAACAGCCTGTATGGTAGCCTGGTGGAGCAGCTGTTGGGTGAGGCCCCGAGCCTGCACACCCTTTCACTGGCAGAGAACAGCCTCACTCGCCTGGCACGCCACACCTTCTGGGGCATGCCAGCCCTAGAGCAGTTGGACCTCCACAGCAACATCCTGATGGACATTGAGGATGGCGCCTTCGAGGCCCTGCCCCAGCTGACCCACCTCAATCTCTCCAGGAACTCCCTTACCTGCATCTCGGACTTCAGCCTCCAGCAGCTGCAGGTACTTGACCTGAGCTGCAACAGCATTGAGGCCTTCCAGACGGCCCCGGAACCCCAAGCCCAGTTCCAGCTGACATGGCTAGACCTAAGGGAGAACAAGCTGCTCCAATTCCCGGACCTAGCCGCATTCCCAAGACTCATCTACCTGAACATATCCAACAACCTCATTCAGCTCCCTGCAGGGTTGCCCCAGGACAGTGAGGACCTCCATGCACCCTCTGAGGGCTGGTCAGCCTCTCTACTGTCCAACCCCAACCGGAATGCCAGCGCCAATCCCCTCTCCCAGCTCCTGAACCTGGATTTGAGTTACAATGAGATTGAGCTGGTCCCTGCCAGCTTTCTGGAACATCTGACCTCCCTGCGCTTCCTCAACCTCAGCAGAAACTGCCTGCGATCCTTTGAGGCCCGACATGTGGGCTCCCTGCCCTGCCTGGTGCTTTTGGACTTGAGCCACAATGTGCTGGAAGCATTGGAACTGGGCACCAAAGTCCTGGGGTCCCTGACGACATTGCTTCTGCAGGACAATGCCCTGCAAGAACTGCCACCCTATACCTTTGCCAGCCTGGCCAGCCTGCAGAGGCTCAACCTACGGGGAAACCAGGTCAGTCCCTGTGGAGGACGAGTAGAACCAGGTCCCCCAGGCTGTGTGGACTTCTCTGGGATCCCCACCCTTCATGTTCTGAACATGGCAGGGAACTCAATGGAGATGCTCAGGGCAGGCAGCTTTCTCCACACCCCACTTACGGAGCTGGACCTCTCTGACAATCCTGGTTTGGATGTGGCCACAGGAGCCTTGGTGGGCCTGGAGGCATCCTTGGAGGTACTGAAACTTCAAGGCAATGGACTGACTGTCTTGAAGGTGGACTTGCCATGCTTCCGCCGTCTCAAGCTCCTTAACCTTTCTGAGAACCGCCTCAGCCACCTGCCTGCCTGGACACAGGCTGTATCCCTGGAGGTGCTGGATCTGCGGAACAACAGCTTCAGCCTCTTGCCAGGCAATGCCATGGGTGGCCTGGAGACCAGCCTCCGGCGCCTGTATTTGCAGGGCAACCCACTCAGCTGCTGCGGCAACGGCTGGCTGGCAGCTCAGTTACACCAGGGCCGAGTGGACGTGGATGCTACTCAGGACCTAGTCTGCCGCTTCAGCTCCCAAGAGGAGGTGTCCCTGAGCCACGTGCGTCCAGAGGATTGTGAGAAGGGGGGGCTCAAGGACATCAACCTCATCCTCATCCTCACCTTCACAGTGGCCTCTGCCATCATCCTCACCACACTGGCCACCTGCTGCTTCCTCCGCAGGCAGAAGTTCAGCCAACAATACAAAGCCTAGGAGATCCTCTTCCCACTCAGTGTGGAAGCCAGAGGGGCAGAGAAGCTGAGGTCTGACTCAGGTTACACAGTGACCAGGGCCTCAGCTTCCTGCATCCTGCAACATGGACAGGTAGTTGCTTCCTAGGTTGCAGATGTGGTCCAGCTGTGGAGCCCAAGGTGGTGCAGTTTTCAGAGGATACCAACAGGTCTCCACTGAGCATCCCTTTCAGGCCTTACCTTTCTCTGGGCACTAGTGAATGAAGCACGTGCCTATCCTCCGAGACCGTGACCATGAAGTGTGATGGGACTGAGGTGGGGGAGGCCCTGGGCCCCCAGACCTGCAGTCCCCAGCTGGTCATGGAAGAGTCAACCCTGGCTGGCTGTGTTTGTGCAAGAGAGAGCAGAGCCCAAGAGATGATTTGTCTAAACCGTTTCCACACAGAGCTCTGTCACATCTGCTGATAATGACTCTCAGCCTCTCTGGAAATGAAGAACTTGTGACCGGAAGAGAGAGCCAGAACCTCCCCCAAAGGCCTTGAATCTGGGCTCCTAGGCCAGATTCTCAAGTTCCAGCTGAACCAGCTTAAAGTGTGGTCACCTGGACTTCCAGCCAGGCCCAGGGTGGTCTGTGTCCTGCCCTGGACAGGCCCTTCACCCCAGTGTACTCTCCTGTTACACACAATGACCCCAGTGCTGCCTGGATTCCCAGTCCCCAGCTCAGGCCTCCTTCCATCCCAGCCCCGCCCTGGCTTTTGAGCCAAGATGGAGAGCCTCGGCTATCTGGTTCTGTTTTGCACTCAGCTTAGCAGCTGCAGAGGCAAATCCAAGCCAACTCTCAGAGGTTTCTATGTTATCTGCATTATACACAAGAAGAAAACAAGGTTCCTTTAAGAGCCTCATGGCTGAGAGAGATGCCAAAGCCAAAGATGAATCAAACCCATGTCCTCTGATGTACAGGACCTAAACCTTGCCAGTGGGTGCAGTGCCTGCAGGCTGTCAAGTGGACAAGAAGCAGCCCTATCCTAACCAGGATCGGTTCCCTCCTCTCAGGCACCCACAGACCCTGTGCTTCTCTGCCTCAGTGCACCTCGTTCATTTGCAGACCAGTATGAACTCTCCCTTTCTCACCTTGCTCCCTCACTGTCATTCTTCACCCATTAAGCAAGCATAGTTTGGAGTTTGACATTATTGAATGTAATCTCTCCATTGAACAGATAAGGAAAACAAAGTTTAGTGCTTGCTCAGAGTCACACAAGTCAATGGCAGAAACTGTAGGAGAAAAGGTAGAAAAGCAGCTGGACTGTTGCATAGTGGGAGAGCATTTGCCTTGCACTCTCAAGACCCTGAGCTAAGTGCCCAGCAGCGTCACCTGTGTGGTTTCTTACTCTCGGCAGTCGCAGCACAAGACAGTACCAGCTATCGTGCCTATCCTCACCAGGCGTGGAAAGTAATAAGGAAGACCCTCTCAGACTCTCCACTCATTCTCTAGACCTGTGGGTACAGGGAGAAAAGGGAGCCCTGGGCCCAAACACAGAACCTGCTCCATCAGCTTTCCTCTGCCTGACCCATAGTCTGCCAGGGCACTCAGTAATGTACAAGACGATGAAAACACCATTCTCTCTGGCCCATTTTACAGATGAGGAAACTGGGTCCCAGAGAAAGTTAAAGTCTCAGAGAACCAATGGGCAAATCCAGGGCTAGAACCCTCACCAGGGCAGCTAGTGGGGTCTAGGTGCTACTGCACACAGCACTCTTTCTCGGCCTGGAGGCCATAATATGGCCCCTGTGCCTGAGCTCTGAAAACACTATATCATGCTGCTGCCACCTCCCACGACTGGCCACTGCCAGGCCCTGGGATCAGCTCTTTGTATAACTCACATGAATGTATTAAAGTATAATTTTGGAGAAACTGTGGCCTTCCAGCCTGCTTACTTTGGATACCCCATACCATTGCATGACTTGAACCCTGACCTTTTCTTCTCCCATCAGGGGCTTTCATTCCTCATGAGGTACCTCGGGGGACCACTTAGGCAGCTCCACCCTGGGCTTTGGGCCTCAGCCTCCTTTGTAGCACCGTCACACCCACCCTACCTATGCCCTATCCCAATCTCAGAAACCAGTGACTGTGGCCCCTTCTCACCTGTCTGCAGTGATGTGTCTGTCCCCTGCCTTTGTTATAACATGGAGGATGGTGCCACCTGCAGTGATGTGTCTGTCCCCTGCCTTTGTTATAACATGGAGGATGGTGGGCACGGAGAAAGGCCTCCCCTCCCCTATCGTAAAGCCAGTGAAAGGGGCTTAGTGAAGGCAGACTTGGACCAGGCCATTGCATGGGCTGGGCTCAGTCCAGGACCTGTGGGCCTCCCCTCCAAAAGGACCCCACCAGGCCCCTGACCCCTTTTCCTGGCAAACAGGGGAGCCTGTTCACCTGGCTGAGACCCCCCAGTGGGGCAGAAATTCCTGTTTTCAGTGAGACGTGGACACAGCTGCCAACTAGGTCATCAGAACATCCGGTTTACTGAGCTTTCAGCCAGTTCTAGGAGAGGGGGGCCCTCATGTGCTGGAGTGTCAACCTCAACTCATCCAGTTCAGTAGACTCTTATGGTGCCACACTCCTCAAGAAACCCTGTTTCACCCCTGCCCCAACACACACACAGCTGCCTCACCATCTCAGTCCACCAGATCCAGGGGCTTGGTCAGCTGCCCACTACAAATACCCCTTTCCTCCAGACAGCCTGCACAGCCCTGAGAGGTAGTGAGCGATCCACTGCTCTGACAGTCCCTCTCTGCTGTCACCCATCATTTGTTGACCATTACTAAGTGCATCCAGCTAAGTCCAAGTTGAGCAGTCAATGGACCTTATTCCTAGTGTTTGAAGAGACTTTTATTGTATCTTTAGATTCTAGAGGTGAAACCTAAATCCAGGTTCATCCCTCTCTGAAGCCAGTGATATTCTTCTGTTTTGTTGTTGTTGTTTGTCTTCTTTTTTGCTATGTTTTACTTATTTGCAAGTGTGTGGGGATCAGAGTACAACTTGTGAGAATCAGTTCTCACCCTCTACCACTGTAAATATCGAGGCTCGACCTCAGATTGTCAGGCATGGCAGCAATGCTTTTATCCACTGAGCTATCTTACCTGTTTCTTGTTCTTTGTGTTTTGAGTCATGGTGTCCTGTGGTCCAGGTTGGCCTTGAATTTACTATGAGGCTAAGAATGACCTTGAGCCCCCCATCATCCTGCCTCCTCTTCCCATGCACTGGGATGACAGGTGTGTTCTATCTACAGTGCCCAGCCATGAGCTGATGACCTGAACTACCGGCAGCCCTTTAGCATCTGACCCTCACAGCTCCAGGCTCTGCCCTCTCTCACCAGGCATGTTCCACCCACCCTGACACAGCCACAAACTCCTGCTATCATTGCCTGTCTGGACCACCTCCTCTGAGGAGATGGCCTGGATTGCTTCCTCCTGCTGCCTGTATCCCCATAGAATCCTCAGGCTCTAGCATTGAGTATATGACTGGTCCACCATCATATCAAGAGTCCTGGGAAAAAAAATTCCTACCCAGAGTCCCCTGTGTGTCCCCTGGGACTGTGAGCTCAGAAAAGATTTCCCGAATTAATGGACCCTGCCCTCCAGGACTTATGAACTCTTGGGTTTAAAACCAGCCTTCAGACAGACCCAGGGGATCCAGAGAGGCAGAGGGCAGCGAGATGTGGACTGTCCAGGGGCTGCAACAGCACTCAAGCGTGCTCTCTGGCTGGCTTTTGCTGTCCTCAGTCTCCCCTCGCCTTGAGGATTCTGTCTTATCTTTGTCCTCCCGTTCTATCTTCTCATCCTGTCTCTCCACCCCACCACCTCTGTCTCCGTAGAAACAGTTGTGCTGAGAACGGGAGGGCTAGAGGGAAGGAGGGAGGCTGAACTGTTTATAGGAACTGGAGTGGCTCCATCCATCAGCTCTGTTTGGAGAACAGACCAAGCATAATAAACAGATCGGCTCCTCCGCAGCTGCGCTTTCCCTGAACTTGGCCCTCCCAACTTTAAGTCTCTCAAGCCAGCTGGTTCTCAGGACCCAGCTCCCACCCTACTCCATTCAGCTCCCACCTCCAACCTCCCATCAGGCTGGCCTGGAAAGAGCTCAGATCTGGGGCCACTCTTGCTCTTTGGGCCACCTTTGCTCTGGAAGTGAGGGCAAATCACATTGTTGTATCTCCATTTCTCCATCTAAATAATGGGCTCATAAACACTCTAATTGCTAACACCTGAGTGCTTAAACATCCCCAAGGTTCTGGGTGCTGGATCTGTGGGAAACCTGGGGACAGTTAGATAAAACCTTGGCTGTGGTAGGAGAGGAGACTCTGGCTGTGGCTCAGGCCAGGAAGCTGTCAGTGGTGAGGGGGTTTTGGGATCTGAGGGTTTGTTTGAAGCTGGTCACAGGCCTCACAGCTGGAGAAATGAGTGGGCTTGGAAGGCATCTGAGTGGCCTATGGGGACAGCAGGATTTCAGCATGAAGCAGAGAGGTGGAAGGGAGAGCCAAGCTCCTGGCTCAACCTGGCTGCAGGAGAGCCAGAGTGCTTCAGCGGTTCATCCCTGAGCTCCCAGGTCCTTCAGCATTACCCAGCATTCTGTAATCTTCTCTTCTCAGCAGCAGAGCTTCCAACTTGCCTGACTCCACTTTTCCAAGTTGAATATGCCTTCCCAGGATTCCATCATGAGTCCATCCCTCCTCCCCTAAAGCCACTTACAAAGTAGAAAACCTACTGACTACCAGCAGCATGTGCTTTCAGAAAGAATTAGAGAACAAATGAAGGATTAATAAAAGTATGAATCAAAGAAAAGGAGACTAAGTGAGCTAATGAATCACTGAAAGCAGCTGGCATGTCTGCAGCCATGAGGATTCCCTAGGCCCTGCTCATTAAAGAAATAATCTCTCTCTCTCTCTCTCTCTCTCTCTCTCTCTCTCTCTCTCTCTCTCTCTCACACACACACACACACACACACACACACACACACACACACACACACACACGTTAAAAACAATGACAGTGATGAGAGCTTTGACAGGAGAGTCAGGGAGAAAGCTGGGACAGGATAGGACCCAGGGGAACCCTCTCTGAGGACCTGATGGTGGCTGAGACGGAAGAGTTTAGAAGCAGAGAGACCCTGAAAGATCCCCCTCCCATTAACTAAACACCCTGGGAGAGCAGAGACTGAGCTTCTAACACTGAGGCTGGGAGCTCTGCCCTGAAGGTGGTGGCCTCTGAGACTCTCACTTCCTTGCCTAGAGTTCTTCAATTCCATTTCTGGAATCATGAAGAAAATAAGTGATGATAAGGAGAGGGATGGGTGTGTGTGTTTTGGGATCCAATCATTGTGGGGGCAGGGGTGAGAGGGCCCAATCCCAAAGGCCCCCACTTTTCATAAGTAATGCTATTCTTATTATTTTGCCAGAGAATGGATTTGGTCTCTGGTCTCTCCACATTTTTCATGTCTGCCTGTCTCACCAGCTTCCCCAACCATGTTAACATTCTTCTGTCAAGCCCTTTGGGTGTTTCCCCAGGATCAAGTCATGTGTAAAAAGTAAACCATGTGCAAATACAAATATGCATGTATTAGAGGGATTTTTATCATTGCTTTGTCAAAAATTGGGTTGTAATCTGTATAATCTCCTGTAACTGAAGAAAAATTCAATCATATTTGAAAGAAATCCCATCTAACAAACTGATATAGCTCTGTGCAGGATTTTTTGGAGTTCATGGTATTCCAATGTTAATGTTTTTTTATTTATTTAGTCATTCATTATTGATGGACATTTTCTCTTTTTTCTTTTTACATTTTTTTGAGAATTTCATACATAGGTCCTGTGTCTACATGATTTCTACCTCTCTCCCTGCCTCCAACTTCTCCCAACTCCCTCTCAAATTCATGGCCTCTTCTGTGATTACTATTGCTGCATTGATGTGTGTGTGTATAAATACATGCACACACACATAAATATACATATACTTAAATGTAACCTTCTGAGCTCATTTAGAAACGTGTATTCATTTGTGGCTGACCACTTGGGTTGGATAGCCTATCTGGGGCCTCGTCCCTGGAGAAGGCTGACTCTCCCTCTCTTAGCAGCTGTTAACTGATTGTAGCTCCTCATTTAGGGATGGCACGTTGAAGGGTTTCCCACATGCACATTGGAATGCCAGCTGGTGCTGTCACTGTGCAGGTCTTGTTTAGGTGGCCACACTGTGAGGATGTCATAGGTATACTTACCTGGCAGGGTTGATACTATGGTCATGAAGGTGGTTTTCTCAGGGTGAGGCTTCTCCATTGTACTTTAGATATCTTGACTCCTGCAATTTCCCCAAATGTGGGAAACTTGACTGCATGATTTGTGGTAGTGAAGAATTAGGTCCATGCTCTTCTCTGTTAATGATGATGATGAAGAAGAAAAAGAAGAAGAAGAAGGAGAAGAAAAAGAAGAAGAAGAAGAAGAAGAAGAAGAAGAAGAAGAAGAAGAAGAAGAAGAAGAAGAAGAAGAAAAAGAAGAAGAAGAAGAAGAAGAAGAAGAAGAAGAAGAAGAAGAAGAAGAAGAAGAAGAAGAATCATGCTGGAAGCTCCTGTCATACATAGAAGGTACTGTCTTACCACAAACACCCTGGGGCCTCTGGCTCTTGCGATCTTTCTGCCCCTTCTTCCTCAGTGTTCCCTGAGCTGTAGGTGTAGGGGTTATGTTGTAGATGCTATCAATTGGGGTGGGCCAAGAACCTCAGGCTCTCTTTGTGTCTGGAAGCTTTCACAGACACACCCAATGTGTGCTTCTTAATTCAAACAATTTGCCAGTCAAAAATTGCCATCCGCATAGATAGACAGATAAAGACATCAGTTATAAATGAAAATAATTAATACAAAATAATTAATAATAAATAATAAATAAATAATAAATTAATAATAATTAATAATAATATTCTAAATCCCTGTTGATTTAGAATTATACGAAAAACATTACATATATGGTTGTTTTGTCTGCATGTATGTCTGTGCACCACCTGTGTGCCTAGTGCCTAAGGAAACTAAAAGAATCAGATCCTCTGAAGCTGGAGTTAGTCAGTGGCAAGCCACATGTAGGTGCTGGGAACTGAACCTGGGTCCCCTGGAACTGGAGTTACAGTCAGTGGCAAACCACATGTAGGTGCTAGGAGGAACTGAACCTGGGTCCTCTGGAAGAGTAAGTAACCTGTGCTCTTAACCGCTGAGCCTTCTCTCCAACTCATGATTTAGAACTTTTAATACACCTTACATTTCAAAAGACAGTCGTGTTTCTGGTTCCCATCGTGTATGGTGGTCCCTTCTCCATGCTAACTTGCTAGGGCAGGCCCTGGTTGTGAATGACAATTGGGCTCTCATTGTTACAAGTCTAATTCCCTACTGCACAGTTGGTGGTTGCCAATTTGAGTTAACACTGTAGGAACTGTCTCTTGTTTGTTCTCGGCCATGTTTCTATGGTAAAACCTCACTGTGTGCTACAAACATTAAACTCTGTCTAGCACTTCCCAGTTAATGCCCTTCAAGCCTCTCATCTATCTATTGATTGAATATTTTTTGGTCTGTAATGTTTTCAGGGCCTTCAACCTATTTGATTTATGTCTTATATTGTTTTTATAATGTACTTTTTTGTAATTTTTCTTCAATGCTTCTTTTTGTTTGTTTGTTTCAAGATAGGGTTTCTCTGTGTAGTCCTGGCTATCCTGGAACTCACTCTGTAGACCAGGCTGACCTCAAATTCACAGAGATCCTCCTGTCTCTACCTCCCTGAGTACCTGGATTAAAGGTGTGTGCCACCACCACCCGGCCACTTGCAAGTTTTTAAGTAACCTGAAATAGACCTCTACTTGTGAGCTGGACAGATATCAAATTCTATTTGCTTTCAGATAACAACAATTATACCATCCTCATTTATTAAAATCAACAAGTCACTCCATCAGATAATTACATTCTGATATATATTTGGGATCTATCTGAGTTCCTGGTCTGTCTCACTAATCTGTGTTCCTGTTCTAGCTGCTGCTGATTGGTTTTGGTTTGTTTTGACCCCTGAAAGGCAAGTCCTCTTATCAGTATTTTCTTCACTAACTCTGAGATATCTGTGGGCATCTCTTTCTCCATAGCCACCTCAGAGTGGTTGCTTTCTCTTAGGAATGACTTTTTGAGTGCAAATATGTTGAGGTCCATTCTTCCACTTACCTTTTTTTTATTGTTTTGTTTGCTTATTTTGAGTCAGGGTCTCTTGTAGCCCAGGCTGGCCTTGAACTCTCTATATAGCTGAGGATGATATTAAACCCCTAGTCCATCTGCCTCTAACTTCTGATGCTGTAGAATTCAGACATTGCTACTACACCTGGATCACACACAACCTTCTTTGAGTAGATTCTCCCTTGTTCAATTCTTTCCTCAATATTTCATTTTTTTCAATGTTATAAGTGAATTTATAACCATTTATAAAATTTAAAACATTATAAATGTCAATTTCTATGTTTATTGTCAAAATCACAAAACTATTGATTTTTAAATTTATATTCAAGAATTTTGCCATTAAATTTTTAAAAATATTATATTTATTTTTATCAGTTATTTCTTTGCTAGAAGCCCCTGAGCTTCCTTGTATACTGCCAATTAATGGCCTTCTCAGGTGGCACCTATGTCCATCAGCTCCCCTCCTCTCCCAGCCAGAAGCCATGGACCTCCTTCTCCAGCACCTCCTTCCCATCCCAGGGCCCCAGTCTCCCTGGTTAGTAGAAACAGGACCTGGAGTCCACTTCCTAGGTCAAAGGTTGAATGCTGATGGTCTTTGGGTCATACTTAGCCTTCAGTTGTGTCTGATTTGACCCACATAGCATTTATACATTTTTGATTAGTTTACAATATTTAAAAACTTTGAAAACTGGGATAATTGTTTCATGTGGGAACATAAGAAAGTCTGGTTTTGTCTGTGAGCACACACATGTGCTCACATGGGTGTGTAAAAACCAAACACTGTTCTTCTCTACCATGTTAATTTTTATTTTGTTTTGAATTATTTAAGAATAAAAAAGAAAACAGTTATCTTTTGCTGTTGCTTTAATTTATTGATTGGTATATCTAGTAGTGTGTGGGGGAGGGGATGCACATACATGGCGTTCATGGAGGTCAGAAGACAACTTCGTAGTTATTTCTCTCCTTTTAACTTTTAGTGGACTCCAGAGAGCAAACTCAGGTCACCAGGGTTGTGGCATGTGCCTTTACCCTCTGAGCCATCTCAACAACCCTCCACCATGGTTTTTGTAGCACAAATTATAATAAAAACTTGGAGTCAGCTATCAGGGGGTGAAAGCTGAAGGATCAGAGAAACAAAGAAGCCAGTCGCTAGAGTTTTTACCTTTACCAATGCTCAGACCAAAGGGGCAAGCAATCCTGTCCTCAGACTGACTACTCAGATGGACTGCCTCAGACTGCCATGAGCTCCTGTATATTCCTCTCTCTGCCCAGTCATGTCACTCCTATCTGTACCTCCTTAGAGCTGGGATTAAAGGTGTTGAAACCCAAGTGCTGAGATTACCTTTGTATGAGCTGTTTCTCTTTTAGACTGGATCAATTTCATGTAGCCCAGGGTGGCTTTTAACTAGCAGGTATCTGTCTGCCTCTGTCTCCCAAGTGCTGGGAGTAAAGGTGTGCACCACCACTGCCTGGCCTCTATGGCTAACTACGGTGGCTAGCTTTGCACTCTGATCTTCAGGCAAGCTTTATTTGTTAGATCATAAACAAAAGTATCATCACATTTTTAGATACAGGGTCTCTCACTGAACCTGGAGCTTGCTGATTCAGTTATGCTGTCTGGCAGTGAGACCTGGGATCTTCCTGTCTGTCTCCCCAGCACTGAGATTGCAGGCACGTACTACCACACCTGGCTTTGTGAGTGTGTGTGTGTGTGTGTG